TCAGGCCAGGACGCCAGACGTTGCCTTGAAATAGCGCAGCCCAAAAAGGGAAGAGTTCCCTTCTTATACTAATCCTCCGACAGTTTTAAGGGGCTGCTCCTTGCTCGCAGTACTTCCCTTGCCTTCGTGGCTGCCCTGACCGAAGAAAGCTAGCAACCCTCCCACACAAAACAGCAATGAAAAACGCAACGCAAAGCCCCACGCTTCAAGTGAAACCTTTTTACATCTTTATTTTTGTGAGAAATCACGGAGACGGGGCTAATATGTACATTCCTCTTTATTTAATACAGCACGGACACATGACATAAAAAAAGAAAAGTACACTCATGAAAAAAGCCTGTCGCAGTTAGGGACAGGGAACAGCTACGCCAAATTGAGTAAGGCTCCTACTGCAGAACAGGGGTCTGCCAGCAAGGTTGGATCCCAGAGCAAAGTCTGCTGCCAAAAGAAAAAAAAAAAATCTTTGCACTCCTTTCAGGAAAGCAGAAAATAAAAGGGCACGTCCCTCTCGGAACAGGTGGAGGCGGCCTTATCTGCAAGGTTCGCAGGATACAAACCCTATTACTGCGTTTGGGCCGAAGCACAGATAAAATGACAAATGCTCTCCAGCTATTCTTACAGAGGGGCAATAGTCCTGACCTCTGAAAACGTCAGACTTCTCAGGAAGAGCAAACCTGAGCATCTCGAAGGAGTGAAAACATCAAGTAGTCACACAGAAGAGAGTTAAAATTGGTCTCCCCGAGAGGGCCCTACTAGCCACAGCTGGGAGCGCGCAGGGGAACAAACCGGCTTCCCAAAGAACAAAAGACTAACAGCCATTAAACTGACCAGAACAATATACACATTTGGAACTGATGCGGGCTTTTGTGGCAGCAGCTTCTTCCTTTTCCTGCTTCAGTTCAGGATGGAAATTGAGCAGGCACCAGTTCCTCTGGCAAAGAGCCTTACACACTTTTAAAAAATTAAAATACAAAAAAGGGAGACAGGTGTATTTACAAAATCCATGGCTGGTACAGTACATCATTTTTAAGACACACTAAATGCTACAATCTTTCAGGTCCTGAGATTATTACAAAAAAACCCAACAACTCAAAACTTGCGTTCAGGTCCAGTTTTATAAGGAGAGAGGAAAGAAATCACACACTTAAAACACAGTATCCCTTGAAGTTATTGGAACACACCTCCCTAAAAATCCAAATGAAAAAGTGGTGCTAACCACCCAAATGTAGCTGCATTTGGTTGTTCAGGCTTGTTGTCACAAGAGGGGAGCATTTCACAGGGGAGTTTCTCTGGAGAGCTCATCAGGTAAGCACACGGCTGTTAGGATCCTCTCTCCACGACTAAGCCCTATGATCCGAAATATGGGAGTATTAAAAGGAGAAAGGTGATCTTGTACAAATTCACGCTGGACTGAGTAAAGCATCACAGGAATCACCAACTCAAACAGGTTTGCCATCTCGTAGTAACCGCGCATTCCTTTGTTTGAAGCCAAGGAATGCAAAGAATTCTAGCTGTGATTTAACATTCGGTTATAACAAAACACTTGGCCAGCTGTTTGCTCTGAGCTACCTAGTGAAAGGCAGGAAAACACTCCGTCCATCCGTTTCTCAGCCTTTCATTGTCTTGGGGATCACAGCAAGTCAGATAAGAGAGTTAAGCTGGCTACATCCTAACTTGCTAAAATACATATATACACACTAAAAGTGACTCCAAAGAAAGGATACCGAGGCCAAACCTCTGTCGAGGGGATGATCCCCACTACCATTAGCTGTGCAGGCAGGTATTTGGACGCCCTGTTCTTGACTGAGCCTCTTTATCAGGCAGAACTAAAGGGACTTGCACCCACACCTGGTTTTTTTCCCCCCCAGTGAAATAATCTGAACATAGTGCTTTTGTACCATCAGAAGTTATCATCACAGATGCCCTTTTATTATAAGCACCTGACTTTAAGCTTGAGAATGCCAACATTTTAAGGATTACTCATGAAATGCTTCTAACCCTCAGTAAAAGAAGACTAGAAGAGACAAATCACATAACAAGGGTACTAGTTTAACTGCTAAAATATAACGCTGCTCAGTAGACTTTGGGGGGTAAAAAGTAGTAGTTAATTTTGTAATTTTTTTAAACAGTAGTCCAAAAATAAAATTTCTCCATCTATTTCCAGTATGGATCTTGAGAACTATGCAAGAACATGGTACTAATTGCTACATGATGGAATCACCGGCAATAAAACACACACTACAGTTCTCACCTCTGAGCTAAATTGTTATTTGTAGTTACATACAACAAGACTAAAAAATCAGTGAGAAATACCTGGGGATCGTGATTTAGCTTTTATTTAAAGATCCAGCTACTGTGTAGCCGATAACTCCCCTTGTTTAGAAGCAACTTCATTTAAGTGAGAAATTGATTTAATTCACTTCCAATACTGGAAGGAAACCTGGGATGCCTCATTAGTTTCTCCCCAAATCCAATCTGTACATTAAAAAACACTGCTGCGGCTTCTTAAACCAATTTTGAGAGCTGAATATTCTAAAAAACTCTCAGACTAAAACCTGTCACAAGAAGTGATTTTAGCTTCCCTCTCGAAGCAACTTCATGACACTTGACACTAGGTGTTGCACCAGTGAAAGGGTTTCTTTTGTAATATACAAATTTCTTTCTTCACGTTAGCAAAAAAGACTTCTGCAGTAGACATTCAAAAAATATTCCATTTTCTTTGGGTAAAACTTCAACATGTGTTAAGAGGGGTAGCTGGGGGAAGGAACGCATGTAACACTGAAACACGTAAATACTTATCTGCATAGTTGATATTAGTGACTACTAATCAAACTAAGGCCTTATCTGGAAAAAGCTGAGAACACAAGAAAGTTTCTTCCCCCACTCCCCACTCTGGTGAAATCTGGCAAGTCTCAAAGAAATTCTGGCTGCCTCAGCAGCTACTTCGTTTGGCCTACGATGGTGGTATCTCCTGACTGGTTTTGGTTGATTCTCTCCCTCCCTTTTTCTCTCAGTACTCGACAGTAACAAACATAACTATCTGTTGATAATACATCTGCACACACTGCTCGGCAAAAAAAAACAAACCCAACCAAACAACTTAGTATTGAGCATGACAGGAGTCAAACAGTGTACACTGCTTGTTTTGGATTACTTCACCATAAAGAAAAACATACTAGTTAATGCTTATTATTTAAGCAGGAGATGACAGCAAGGGAAGAGACTGAAATTCACTTCTAGATACAAAACATGGGGTTTTTTTTTGTTTTTTTTTGTTTTTTTCCAGAGTTGCTCTGTAGAATTATAGCTGTCAAAAATGGCTACAAAATACAGACCTATATCCTTGACTACTGACAAGATTAGCACAGTTTTATTTATGAGTGTGCAAAAACAGCTGTAGGGAATCTTTGTACTTCCCCAGTTTTGGGCCAGTTCCAGGCCATGCTGATCTCTCAGCATAACTCATAGCAGCAGCAGGGCTTTCTATGGCCCCAAAAGGCTATTACAGCAGCAAGGGATCACCGGGTCATAGAAAAAGGATGATGAAGCCACACCAGAAGTTTCCACAAACAAAGCATTCCCCTACACAACAGTTATCTTTCCAGTGGCCCAGTAAGCATACTTCTGGCTGCTTATTTTGGCAGTGATTTCTTAAGCAGTAGACAGACAAAGATTTTCACAACAGCTGCATTTGTTAAAAAAGACTGCAACAGTCAACCATCATCGCCAGCTGCAGATTCCCCATCTCACAGATCAGCCTAGGATAAAGAACACATGAGCCCAAAATGAATTAAACAGCAACAGAAAAGCCAGGTTAGCTCAGTTACTGCCACAGGTGGATGTGGCAAACTCCACTGAAGTAACTTCCCTGATGCACCTAAGGCAGATTAAGAAGCACCCTCACTATCGCTCCAACTGGCTGAGCTACCAGCAGTAGTCCTATCTTTGACTGGCACCATTAGACTGGTAGAAGAAATCTGCCTATGGCCTAGTTTACGTAAACAGGTTCACTCAAACATGTGAAGACAAGCTAAGAACTGAAATAGCAGTTAGGCTATTCTCTGCCCCAGGAACATGTTGTATTTGATATCTTACTTTCTGCTCTCTAGATGGGTTCTCCACTTACGAAGGACTCTTCATTCCATTCCCATTCTGGAAAGTAAATGCTTCCTTTCCATACTGCAACTCAAAATTAGATCTTCCCCAGGGGAAGCACATCACAGAACTAGCAGTCTAGTGATGCATACATATGTTACCTTAAGCTTAGCACTTGGTCAACAAGCAAACTGCTAATTTCAGGTATGCATGTTTATAATAATTATAAGGTAGATAGATCCTCAGCACAGAATTGTTAAAATCACTAGATGATCTATTGCAGATTGCTAATTTTGTCAGAGAACAAGGAAACAAGCACAGACACTATTAGAGGGTTCACTTGCAGCTAACAATACATGAACTTACTGTTTGTTATATTAAGAGAACAAACCATTAATGAAATCTCAGTAAATTGAGAAAAAGTACTAGAGGAGTACTTCATGGTGAATGATTTAGGCAGCATGTGAAGCATAGCCAAGTTTAACTTCAATTAGCAGCTGCACTCCTACAGGTTTTATCAAATTCCTTCTTACATATGATGCATGGTAGAAAGTGACAACTTTGGTAAATGTGAGAATCCTTGCAATAACTGGTGTCAAGCAGATGTGACTAGCCACACACAAGATTCCTTGCAATTAATCTCAACTCAAACTTGTTGCAAGCTGCTATTTTAACCTTCTCTCCCCCCTCCTTGGAGTTGTCAGCCACACGGCTTTGCCTCAGACTCAGTAATTGCGTGAAGTGGTCCAGTATTTAATAAGGCTGCCAGACAGGGCCCATAATGTTTTACTTGTGACCTTATTAAGATCCAAATTTAAAACCTTCAGAGAAAAATGCAAGAAGTTTCATTCCCATTAGCCATTTCCTTTCTCTCATGCACATTTACACACACTCACACACTTTTATTGTACTGCCATCTTTGCGCAAACGTTCACCTTTAAGTGTTTAACAGAGCCAACAGAATGTGGAAGGATGAACAGGTTTCTCAGGAATATTGCTGTATATGTGTGTGTGCGTGCGCATGTGTGTGAGTGTGAGAGAGAAAGAACGCACAAGCACACAGAACCAACGCCATGGTACAGCAGCTATGAAGTTACACACATTACACACTTTTTTTCTTCTTTACAAAAGGGAAAAAAATAGTATAACAGCATAAAGCCATCTTGGCAAGCTTAAGATTTTCCTCCAAAATGCCTTCCAGCACTTTAGGATCTCTGAGAACAGTTTAAAGAGAGTAGGGAAATAAAATTAAAAAAAAAAAGGCACTTAAACAAAGGACAAAGGCCTGAATCAAGTAAGTCATGGAGGGTAACAGCCATTTCACCAGAGCTAGGACCAATCAAAATCTACCAACCTTTTTTTAATTTCTATAAAATTAAAATTGCATAAAGTGTTAATTAATCAGTCATTTACCTACTGCTTTCACCTTTTCTGGTTCATTTTATGGGGGGGAAAAAAACCCCCACCAAACCCAAACAAAAAGCAAGTGTCCCTTTAATGATTTTCCCCCCGATTCAGCAAAAGATGAAAGTTAGGTGTGGGAGGAAGCCTTCCACAGCTTTGCTTGGCTGCAGGTTTTCCCTGCAGTCCCATCTTCAAAAAAGTCCAAACAAAAGCAGAAGAGGGACCACTGTGCCTTCACCAATTCACTCAAAAAAAAAAACCCAACAAACCCAAACACCCCAACACTTCTAATCCATCTGTGGGCAAAAACTACTCAAAAGAAAACCAAACAAACTGTAAACTAGATTAAAATTTGCTAATAAATACAGCCAAAAGTTCATTTTACGAATGTAGCAGCAAATGTGATAAAGTTAGTTGGAGTCCAAGATGACTCCCAGAGGGTTAATGGTTCACACAACTGATGGCAGCTTGGGAGAGTTGCAGGATTTCTCTGTTTTCATGTCCTCAAGGGTCTTGCACCAAGTGGAGAAGGAGTGTGGAGGAAGGGTCAGGTGATGGGACTGCGGGAAGGAAACAGGCTCTTGGCACCTGTCCCACGCCCAAATCTGTGCATCAGACAACTTTGATCGGATTCAAACAGGAAGCAGAACCCAGGTAATTAAAAGTTACTTCTGATTAGCAGAAAACAGATGTGAAACCCACAGCATCCACACTTGTGACTTAGCTGATCAGTATTAGTCATGTATCTCAAATCAACAGAGAAGGCTCAACAAAGTGATATAGGCCATTTGCATCTTGGAGTGGGAGGACACTGCAGTTATAGTCCAAGGTATCAGGAAACTTTGCAGCCTGTTTTTCATCTAGCCTGCCTTCTTTCTTTGCAAGTGTCTCGAAAGGATTTAAAATAGCTACCACGACTTTTGGGACTTTGGATCATGTAGCAGAAAATATGACCCA